TAGCACTTGTTGGCAAGAGTGATTCTCCGTTGGATTTCAAGGCTTACTTTATTATTGGTGTTAATGCTGGTTCCCAAATAAATGAAGCCGTCTACTTTTTCAAACTTGTAACTGTCAACAGTGGTGCCAAGACGCGTATGCTCTGACTGTTTATGTGACGACAGCAGATACTTCGTTTTGTCCTCGTTCACCACCAGACCCATTCGCTTTGCTCCTCTATCCAGCCCCGAGAAGGCAGAATAGACGTAGCTCTTTTTTTTACCGATAATATCGATGTCGTCGGCATACGCCAGCAATTGTACGCTCTTGTAAAGTATTGTGCCTGAGCGGTTCAGTTCTGCGGCTCTTATTATTTTCTCCAACATCGGATGAAAGAAATCACACGAAAGGGAGTCCCCTTGTCTGAAACCTCGTTTGGTATCAAACGGCTCGGTGAGGTCCTTCCCTAATTTGACGGAGTCATTTTACACAGCCGTATTAGTTTCGCAGGGATACCAAATTCAGACATCGCGGCATAAAGGCAACTTCTCTTCGTGCTGTCGAAAGCTTCTTTGAAATCGACAAATAGATGGTGTGTGTCGATCCTATTCTCGCGGGTCTTTTACAAGATTTGGCGTATTGTGAATACCCGATCTATGGTGGATTTTCCAGGCCTTAAGCCACACTGATAAGGTCCAATCAGTTCTTTGACGGTGGGCTTCAGTCTTTCGCACAATACACTCGATAAAACCTTATAACCTATGCTTAGAAGGCTGATTCCGCGGTAGTTGGCGCGTATGGGGTGGGGTCGCCTTTCTTGCGGATTGGGCAGAGCACACTTAAATTCCAGTCGTCGGACATGAGTTCATCTGACCATATTCTGCATACGAGCTGATGCATGCACCTCATCAGCTCCTCGCCGCCGTGCTTCAACAAAAATGTAAACAAACAAAAGCAAATGTCAAAAAGCAGACACTGACAACGCCGTATTGTGTTTGCCGCGACAGTGATTGCCAATATTAGCAGTAACAGCTGATTTTGAAAACTGTCACTGCCACTGCCACTGCGCTATTCTATTTCGGGCTTTATTTTTCAATGAAAATCGTACTAGATCGCGGGACAAGCGGAGTAGCTTAGTAAACTTTTAATTTTCCCCAAAAACCGTGGTAAATCTACTACAAGCGTAGTGGAGTTCTAACGCTGACACTGATCCATCTAACTTACACGGCGTTTACATGGGAGAATTTTGCCATGACAATAGCAATACATTCACACTTTTTCTTGGTTAATTTGAGAAAGAAGCAACACAAAATCGCAAAAAATCGCAGAACTATGAAAAAGAGGTTTGTGTTTGGATTTTTTAGTAAATAATATGAAACTCACGTCAAACGACACTAAAGTCCCGTCCACATAGAACTTTGGCGTTGCGTTGGCGTTGGCGTCGCTTCAACAGCTGACTATGAATACGTGAATTCAAATGCAGCCGTCCACATAGCCAAAATTCGACAACGCTCACGCCAACATAAAGCAAGAAGATGGCCAACTCTCAACTCTTCGCGTGCGTCGCTCGTCAGCTGTTGCAAATAAATAAAATTATGTGAAATATTTTTCCTTTTAATCAAGTGCGGGCAAGAAATATCGTTTTTAATGCAATTATTGATATGAAATATTAATTTATCTGTCGTTAGTATGTTAATTTAGTGGCCCAAGCATTCGCTGCCAAGCGTTCATTTTAGCAAGCATACTTTTAACGTGCGTTCTGTCAAACCAACGCCAACGCCAAAGCCAACGCGAAAGTTCTATGTGGACCGGCCTTAACGGCGGTTGCTAAAAAATTTATTGTCTTTATAATTATCTGGAGGCCTACTTTACACTGCAATTTGACAACTAATACATATTCTCAATTGTCTTGTCTCAAATTGTCTTATGTAAACGCAGCGTTGGGGTTTACACTGGACAATACTGTCATGACAATAGCCATGCATGCACACTAAGGGCCGGCTGTTGAATGTCTGATTAGCACAAATCGGAGGTAGAAGCTCCGGTTAAATACAACGACTGCTTTGTCGATCACAGGTTATATGCACTATTCCGAAAACGTCGATAATGATGTTTAACCGGCGAAGAGT